TTCCCAAATACTCACCCGACATATCCTTCCAAGTCCTAATTAGTAAAAGGGAAAAATGGGAACCAACTTGCACTTGCCAATCTGAAAGGCCAGACCTGGTACTCGGACGGATCAAAGACTCAGAATGGCACAGGCGCAGGAATCTATAGTCAAGAAGGAAGATGCGAGACTTTCTTCTCTAGGGTCACATACATCTGTTTTCCAGACAGAAGTATATGCAATACTACAATTCGCAAGAATCAACAATATGAGGTCCTGCAAAGACAGGAGACTCACTTTACTCACAGACAGTCAGGCAGCACTGGGGCATTGAAGAACCCTAAGGCAAACTCTGCACTGGTTATAGAATCCCGAGAAGAACTCAACAACTTGGCGGACCACAAAAAAACGTCACATCAATGTGAGTGCCAGTAGATAGAGGTATCCCGGGCAACGAAAAGGCTGATGAACTTGCACGCAGGGGGTCATCCACAGACGTATCGAAGCTCTATAATCATCATATGGCATTTATGGATCTCTCAGGGCTTGGTCACGAGCTATGTGAAGCAAAGACACTGAGAACTTCATTGAGTCAGAGCGAACACTGTTCGTAATGCGTCGCGAGACGGCAATTGATTCAATGCGTTCTCCTCATACTGTAAAATTATAGAAATTAATGCTTTGTCGATAAAAATTTGTCAAGTAGAATTCTGAATTCGTGATTGTAAAATTTCTTGCCCTAGTAAGTATACCTCAAGACCTATCTAGGACTATTCTAAAACCCCTGCAGATGTCGATAGGCAACCACGAGATGATCACAGTAGAACCCAGAACCCCGATTATCCGAGCTCTGGATTAACCGAGCCAATCTAAAGACCCAAAAACCCTGATTATCCGAGGTACGCGCGTCTACACTCCGTATTAACTTAGTTTCTATAATATATAGACATATACAAAATTATTTTGTGGGTTCAACGTATGACGCCAATACCTATCTCTAGTTTCCACCCTTGCTTGGAGATATGGGAAAAGGAAAAGTTAAGTTCTAGGCCTTTTAGTTTCACGTGACTGCATTCCCCAATAATTCCTAATTTTATTCCATATTCATATAAGTGCATTCGGATTATCCGAGTTTTCAGTTATCCGGGGAGGGTGCTCCCCCACGTTACCTCGGATAACCGGGGCTCTACTGTATAACTAATGATGTTGTTTTTAATGTAGGTACCTTTAGGCAGTACAGGACGTTGAGGTGTCAAACCTATATAACAGAAAATAGTGCACAACAACGCTTATTGCTATGACGTATTACGGATTGATTCATCAGTATCATTAGAAGCAAACACTGTATAGGTACTGAATATGAATGTACTTTTTTGTCGCAAAAGTTTATTTATTTATTTATTCATTGACGGGAAATCCCATAATAGCACACAGAACATCTATTATACAATAATTGGACGTTTAGACAACAAACTAGTTGACAACTAGAATTAAAATAGAAAAACAAAAGACTACTCAACAACATGACAAGATGGCGAACATTACTTAAAATAAAATGATTTCTTATTACTAAATATCACATTAACAAGTTTAAGGAGTTAAGGTCTCTTTTAAAGTCTTCACGAGTACTGAAAAAGTCCAGGGTATTGAACTCAATAGAGATTCGGGAAGCTCTGGAGATAAAAGTATTCGAACCATAGTTAGGCCGGTGGATCTTTCCTGAGAAGATAGTTTAAGAGCGCGTGGTTCTTGTTGGGGCATGAAGTCCAATTCTGAAAAGTAGGTATATGGAATCGTTGTGAGAGTTTAGTATTTTGAAAAATGTTAATAAATCACTTTGATTTCGTCTGGCGGCTAAGGGATGCCGGTTGAAGCGTCGGTAGAGGTCATAATAGTGGTAGATATAATTTTCGGGAGGAGAAATACGCTGTACCTGCTCCAATGCATTGATGTGGACAGAATACATAGGTGACCAAACCGAGTAGCAGTACTCCAGGATGGGCCTTAACATTGTGCAGTAGAGAAGCCTGATGGAATAGATGTTGGTGAAGTCCCTTGAACACTTTCTAACAAAGCTCAGCAGTTTCATAGACCTGGTAGCGATATCCGCAATGTGGCTGGAGAAGCTTAACGTGTTATCAAAAATGACACCGAGATCACGTTGTTGGGACACTGTTTCAAGTGGTTTATTGCTTATGTGGTAAACAAATTGTATGGGGCTTTGACTTTTGTAGAAAACGATAGCTTTACATTTAGAAACATTGAGTTCCATGCCACTTGTGACACACCATTTGGAAAGTCTATCCAATTCAAATTGTAGTTTGGCACAGTCTTCGTGGGAGGAGACTCGGGCGAATATCTTTAAATGATCGGCAAAACACAGAAACTCACTATTGATGGAACAAGAACCAATATCGTTGGTAGAAATATTGAATAGCAGGCGTCCCAGGTGAGATCATTGTGGTACACCTGAGGGGATATCAATGGGCTGTGAGCAGAAGTTGATGATCTTGACTGTTTGGGTTCTGTTCCTAAGGTAGTCGCTGATCCACGCAAGCAGAGTACCAAATATTCCAATTCTCTCAAGCCTTGCAAGTAGGACGTTGTGGTTGACACGGTCGAAGGCTTTAGCAAAATCGGTATATATAGAGTGAACAACTCCACCGCTTTCAAGAATCCCTGAGATTTTATCCTGGTGCGTCAGGAGGTTAGTTTCGGCTGAGCAGTTTGGCCGGAAACCTACTTGCTGTTCGATTAGGCAAGGGTTGACGATAGGAGTTAAGAATTTAGTTACTATATTCACAAAGACCTTAGGGATAGTGTTAAGGATGCCGATAGGCCTGTATTTGGTAATGTCCATTTTGTCACAGGTCTTATAGATGGGCGTGATGAAACTCCGCTTCCAAATCTCAGGAAATACCCCACTACTAAGTGATTTATTGAACAAAATAAACAAAGGACAAGATAGTATAAAGCTACACCTGCTGAGCATCAGAGAGGGGATGCCATCCGGGCCAGATTCACGAAAGATCCGTAGGTTACACAGTTCCTCGTAAATAACTAAGATGGAGATTTCAAAGTCATGAATGTGAATGTTATTATCAGAAATGCTGTGGTCAATAACACATGCTTTGTCAAATTGTCTGAGTATACAGAATGAAAGTATGCACCGAAAAGATAAGCTAGGTCAGGTCCAGTTTTGGCGAATTTGCCTTCATAAAACATGTAAGAAATGAGTCCGTGAGTCTGTTGTTTGGCATTGACAAAGTTCCAGAAATATTTTAGATTTTTATCCCTAAGTAATGACACCTCTGAGGATATGACATAATTTGTATAGCAGTTTTTGGAAACTGAGCCCGAAGTGTAAAAATTCAACATAGTCAGCAGGGGAACCCTTCTGCTTCCAAATTCTGTGGGCACTCTTCTTCTTAATTATTAGGTCCTTTAGTTCAAGGGAGATCCATCGTGGAAATTTATGGCTTGAGAGCTTCTTCTTTGGTATACAACAATCGATAGCTGTATAGAGAACGTCACCTGGTCATTTCCGTCACATCGAGACCCCGGAGTAGGTCATCCCAGCGAACCATCCGAAGGTTATCGTTGAGGAGTGTGTAATCAGCAGACCCAAAATCATAATAGTACGCGTCAGGCTGGAGGACGTCAGCATTGCAGTGAGGTGACCTATTGCAGGTGGCAAAAACTAAAGCAGGATGATATGCATCAATGGGGAGGATAATGTCATTAGCTAAGAGACAAGTATCCTCGGGGTCCTGGGTGAAAACCAGATCAAGCGTAAGTTATGGGAAATATTTTATTAGTGGCAGCATTGAACTCGATTCCAATAAAGGCTCATTAGTAAAAGGTGTTTTAGAGGCCAGGAGAGAGAAGTTTTAAAAATTCTATCTGCTAAACTTTCTGCTGTGATAGACAAGTAGTTTGTTTTTTTCAGAGTAGCAAGTTGTAATGCAATTTTAAAGAACAACTACACCTCTCTATAAACATATATGAGAGAATAGCTTGTGTAACTGAATAATATTAATAATTAAATAAAACAAACTAAATGAGCTTAAATAAACAGATAGCGGTAGTTTGTTACGGTTATAAAGCCCTCAAATTATTAACAATAAACTTAAAATACTGTCGCAAATAGAATGTTTGTTCCTAATTAACATCGAATTTTTTTGTTATATTTTTGTGTAGGTACCCTTATGCCCGTCGCTCGAGTTAATGAAATAATTTAATGAGTAAAATTGTAGTTGAATAAATAAACCTCACGGGTAAAGGAATATCGTTCAGCACAGTAGGACTGTAAATCAGCTGAAAGTACAAGAGAATCCAAAGGAAGATATTTGGGGTACTAGAGCTGAAAGAGGGATCCAACGATTGCTGATGGAACAACAACGCTCAAGTCATACCTTATAAAATTGTGAAAATTTTGAGGAAGGTTCATTCAGAACAAAACAAAAATAGACTGTTTGTGATTCTCGTCTCAACTCAGCTTCATTGCGAGACTCGGACGAGGCTAGGCAACACCACATACTCATCTAGTGACATCACATCGTTTATTGGTCTGAGCACATTTCATACCATAAAAAATTATAAATTTTTGATACGTGCTGGATATTGGAATCGTCTCTATGGAGACAAAACCTTTGAAATACCGCAGAGCCGATCTGTTTCATATTGTTGGCGCAGCTGTAATGAGATTAAAGCTGGGTGTTTGCCATATCACCGGGATTCCGGGATTTAACGATATATACCTACCGGAATATTATTTGTGTTCCGTTACTCGTGTCTGCGTAATTTAAATAATTTCTGGGATTTGCTGGAAAGCCCGTGTCTGTTTCCCTCCCAGTTATGCAATGAATCTCACATTGCTTAGACTGTTATTTTTTTCATCAATTTTCCAATTATCGATTCTTTATAGTTTTAAAATAGGTACTTACTTCTACGTGCAGAGTAAGGAATTCCAAGTTTTCTAGGGTATCAAAATAATGTAAAACGAATATTTAATAAATAAATTATATTTAGAGAACACGCATCAACATCGAAACATTTTTGTGACAGTCAAATTTAAATTTTCACCAGCATTGGAAAACACAAAAATTAATTCTGTTCAAAGCACTTGTTTATCCAACTGTGTATAGAAATCGGTAGGTAGCTGCAGAAATCCGAACACAAAGGAATATCATTTCAATAAAATCCGTTCTGAGTATTAGCATTAAATAAATATACCTACTCATATTATGTACAACAATGTAATATCTACCAGCTAACTATTTAAGACTAGGATCGCTCGAAACTTGGGACTTGACACTGGGATTGCTAAGATGGCAATTTAACACATTTTTTTTTTAACTTTATACATTTTTAGCACAAAAAATAATCACAAACATTAAAAGTACGTATGCTATAAAGTGTCATGGTTGAAACTGTTTCGGGTTTTGTTTTAAGCCTGCAAATAACATCAAAGTTGTTTAGCCACAAACTATTTCTCAAGTAATACATGTGACAGCAGCGTTGAAAAAAATAAATAAAATAAATTAGAATAAATAAATATGCAAGGTTCATGCTGGTAACAGCATTTTCATGCTGTTTACGAGCACAAAATAGAAACGGTCTTTAACAGATAAAGACCGAAACGGCATCTTCATTAGAATGGCCGGTTAGAAGAACATCACTCCCACAGGATTACTTGTCAAACCTGATCATCTTTGGAACCTTAATAAAAATCGTCTCTATCAACACTTTTTACAGTCTCAATTAGCCACTTTCACAAATTCTGAGTTATCGTAGCCGCGAGTGCTGACAAAATTCGTAGCCAAGCCCTTTCGATCAATAGCGCGCACTCTTACGAATAGAAAAGCGGCCACTAAACTAGCGACAATTAAAACTAACAAGAGCATCACTAAGCCAGCTACAAAACTTGGAACTGACATACATATGGTTTCAGGATCTTGCGACGAAGCGGACTGAATCACCACAGTTTCGTTATTTTGTGCCGCGTTAAGAGCAAAGTTGACATCACCTGGAGCAACAACTTGTATTATCCGACTGGTATTAACATCTGTCATTTCTTGAGCTTCACGCTTGTAAACGTGACTAACTACGAAGTTCATTACTTCGGGGCTTCTTCTACGCCTGGCTCCTTGTAACTCAGCTGGAAGATTTTCTACAGATCTGGGCCTTCCACCCAAAGTAGCCAAGTTACCTTCTAGCTCATCGTTCACGTTACTACTCTTCCTTTTAACTGTGTTGTATAAACCATGATGCCCAGGTGGTGGAGGAGGTGGTAAATGAATTTCGTTACTATTTTGTGGGTTTGCTTGAGGCGCAGGAGATGATAGGTTTGGAGGATTTGATGTTGATGATGACGATGTTTGTGCTTGTGGTGCAGGTACGACATCAGCATTAGGTTCCGAATAGGCACCAGTAGGGCCAGAAGGATGTCTGGGATCAGGGAACGCAGGTGGAAGTCCATAATCACCAGCCGGAGGTGGTCCATATTCAGCTCCAATATTTGCATGTCCATAATCTCCACCTCCCAATGCATTTCCTCCTAATGGGGCTCCATATTCTAAACCGAGGCCATGACCTCCGCATTTAGGTTCAGGGCAGTTATATCTGCATACTTGAATTACACACTGGAAGTGTACGTTCATCGAATCTGGGAATTTGAAAGCCTGGAAGTATGCAAAGGATACTACCGAGGCAGAGGGTCCAAAGTTCTTTATTTTCTGGAATTTACTCATTATCTTTGGTCTGACAACACAGCCATATTGATCTACAAGTTGAATTGGTGCTCGCTTACCATCGTGAGCGACACAATTTCTGACCAACATATCAAATTTGTTTTCATCATCCTTAATGGCAAGGACCATCGTCATAGTTTGTCCAATTTTGACGATACCAGAAACTTCTGAGGCCCAAGGACCTTTGCCTACTTGAATTTGCATCCAGCACTGTAAATTGTCTCCCAAGAAATTTGCAGTGACAGCATGGAGCATATCTACTTGGAAAGGCCTGAAAGTTACAGCCTTTTCATAGAAATCATACCAAGTACATCTGAGCTTTCTAGCTTGATCCCATACTTCTTGCACATAAGGATCGTATTGAATAATGATGGTATTTTCCACATAACTACCACTAGGGGTAGGTCCACCGTAACTAGCCGCGTTGTGGTTAGCCGACGAAGACATACCACAACTGTTCAAAAATATTTCAAATGTAGCACTGAGATGACCTGTTCCTGGTTTAAGATGAACACAATGAGAGTCGCTGTAAAATCCTTTGGAGAATATCATTCCGTAAAATGGACGATCGAATTCGATGTTAACGCGCATGTGTGTTTTCTCGCACTGAACTTGCAGGTGCTTGATTTGAGGCATATCTGGAGTAGCTAAGGGCCATGGGTCGTCACCACCGCCTCCTCCTCCTCCGCCGCCTCCACCGAGCGTTGCCAATGATTGTTGCGTATAGCCTGGACCAGATAGGGGAGGACCATAAACTGCTCTGTGTTCGAGTGGTAGGGACGCTGAGTCTGTTAGGGGAGCATCACATTTTATTCTCTAAAAGAAAAAAAAACACGTTAATAGAAAAAAAATTGTAGTAGAATAGTATTTATTGAAAAAAATATTCTTATTCTTAAATTATTCTTATTGTGTTTCAAATGGTTGAAATGTAAATATACCTTGGGATATAGGGGAATTATACACCTGGGGATATAAAGTCAAAAATACTTTTCATACCTATTCATAAACTTTTGCGGAATTAGTGCAATAGTACAATAAAAATCTCTCGTCTATTAGCAATAAATTCGGATAATATATTAGCGTATAGAGGCTAGATATGTCAGAAAATTAACTTTGGGCAAATTATATGACGGATTCGTAGTCTTCACCACCGATTCGATAATAATAAAAACTATATAAGAAATAAATTAAGATGTGAGGGAGTAAGCTGATAGAAAACAGAATGATATATCAAACAAACATACAATTAGATTACAGTTTTGGTTAAAATTGTTGCAATAACGCCATGGTTTTGTTGGCGGTAGGTATGGAACGTAGTGCCATCCTGTTGGAACCAAAAGCCCTCTAGTTGGTTTTCGATGATTATTATTGATGGGAAGAAATAACCGTTGCTGAGAACGACGTCTAACAAACAAATTTGGATTATCTCGAACACTTTGACTCATATACTGTTTCAAAATTTTCAACATTTCTCACATTTCTTACACGATTTTTTCTTGAATTATCCAGCAACGTAAACTCATTTTCAAATTTCCTCACAACATTACGAATTGTTTATTTACTGGGTCGATCATGGGGACCATAAAGTGCACTTATTCCGCGCCTAGAAGTAGAAAGGGAAGAACGAAACAGAAATAAATTCCAGAAGGGAAATTACAATGAAACTAGTGTGTAATAATGCATTGGAAAAAGAACAATTATTGAAGATATGATAAAAACTAGAAAAAAAATATTAATTGGGAAAATTTGAGGTAGGTATATAGCAATTGCCCTTTTCTGTCGCCAATGGTAATATTCCATTGTATAAAAGAATTACAAAACAATCAAAATATAACAAACAAAACTGAACTGACATTATCATAAATAATTAGATAAACATCATTCCGTCACGAGTGGCCTTTTATCAGGGAAGCCACCTTCTAGTTACAAAAACTAACCACAAACTCTCAAGAGGAAAATCGCGTGTAGGTGATGCTATCGGGCATACAGAGGCTTAAACAGTGTTGCCAGATCTCACGATTATTCGTAAGATTACACGATTTTGGTCAGAATTTCACGATCTCACGAATGAGGTAGCAAATCTCACGAATTCTCTCTGTAGTAATACAACTCAGTACTCAAATATAATGTAAATAATCGAAATAAAAATTTACTATACAATATTTACTTATGTTACGCCGGTCCTGGTATATGCGCGCTCAAGAACACTTTACCTAATAGCACGGCAGCCACGGCATATAAAAAAACAATCAGCAGGCTAACTTGAGCTTTGTATCCCAAAATGGCGGCGTGCGCAGATGAGATGGGCGTTAAATCTCATTGTTTGCCATTCAAAGATAGGCTGTATCCTCGAATGGCGACATGCGCAGAAGAGATGCGCGTGAGAGTTAACCTGCTGTTTGTTTTTGTATATCCTGTGCTAAAAGGACTGTTTATTGAGCTGAAAGTATCTGCGAAGTCCACGAGACCCCACTATTTGTGACGTCAGCTGCAGACCTCAACTCTTGGCAGAAAATGCATTATCCGAGTCCAAAAAAACGAATTCATAAACGTTGAAATCGCCTTTTCCTAATTTAAAACTCCCAATAAAATTAACTCACAAGCACAGCTTGAATCGCAAGCTATCCATCGAGGTCTGCGGGTGACGTTGCTACTATCAGTTGCTGATAGTAGTGACGTCACTCGCAGACCAGCTGCCGACTTGAGAATTGGCGAACGTACGCTTTTTTAGGATAAGCAATCCTGCGGATAATAAAAACGAGGTTCAGCTCTCAGAAACACCTGCTAAAAAACGGAAAAAACAAGGATACAAGATTAAATAATAAAATTTCAATATATTATGGATGTAAAATCATGTCTACTCTATCAAAAATATATAGAAGAACATTGTGCATTATTTTCTTACAAGCAATTTTAGGTCTCACGATTTTTCTTTATCGATTCTCACGAATTTTTTTTATTTCATATCTGGCAACACTGGGCTTAAAACATCTTTCAATAGCACCATGGAATTTGGTTTGTGAGAACTTTATTAGTGAGCTCGTGTTCCAACCAAAACTGTCATTTGCCAAAAGAGTAGCTAAGAGGTTAGTGTGGGTTGATAATATCAAAGAATTAGGAGAAAAAAAACGACAAATATATTTCGACCTTTGCTGAAAAAAATATGAGTTAGATATATGACATTTTTTCAAAAGACTGGGGTTGTTTTTAATTTAGAAATGAATAGGAGGAAAATACTCAATGCCTCTGCTTTGACCAAGTTATTGAAGGAACGAATAATAAATAATAGTTCGAAATGAACTTCTAGTAAAATACAAAAATATAAAAATTGAAAAGAAAGTGAAAGTCTTACCCCTAATAAAAAGACAGCCAACGTGCCAAGAATGTTCAGCATCCGCGACCTTGTCATGTTGGTTCCGCCAGGTTAGCCGCTTCCTTGTCTGTAATCAAAGAAATGAAAGCATCTTGAGAATGAATGAGTCTTAAGCATAGTTGCCACATTTTTATCAGCAGCTTTTCTACGCTGCTAGTCAATAGAAACAATATAAAATGTTAATTTCTAATTGCTCCTAAAATACAAATGAGTCGGCGAAGCGGATTTGTTGATTTCTCTTGCTACTTTCACCAAAAACAGCCATATATCCGGCACAAAATTATATACTGGCTTGGCTGATGATTGCTGGATTATTAAACTTTTGGTTTTCGCCAATAAAAAAAGCAACAATCAATTCGAAATAAATGGACATGTGAACTTAACATCATATTATTTAATTAACACGAAACTGTCCAATCTATCGCACCACCTGTTTTCGTACAAAAGAGAATTTACTTTCACAAAATTATTGATTTTTAATTTAATATTTACTTAAAACAAAAAAAGATTTGCACGGTCGTTGAATGAAAAACTATCATATTTAATTGGTAATCAATATCCAGTTTTATTATATTTTCTTTTAAAATCCATATCTATAGGTACCTTTTTTGGATAATTCGAAGAAACAAATCGTCTCTGGTATAGGAGCAATAGGACAAAATACTCCTAGTCAACATTTTTCTATCTTTTCGGTCAAATAATCAACTTTCTCATAAGGTAGGTAATTGAAAATTGAAAAAATGCGCTAAAATCCTGAATAGGGATAAGTATGAAGTAAAAATACTGTTTACTACCGAAATTTCAATAAACCGATTACTTTTTCAAGCTTTTTAACCACATTGGTATTTGTATTCAAATCCCAACTTTCGACAATAATTTTTCAATTTTTCTTTATAAAATGTGTAATTTATCATACTCACTACATCATTCTATGACCAGGCAATTAATTGATAATTCTCACAAAAATCTTCCAAAATTTCAAAAACAAATCACAATACAATATTAGATTTCGTTCTCAAACCGACAACGCCGCCGCCGAACTAACCAAGCGATATCTTCAATTGCTGCATTTGAAGAATATGACCTAGTGACACACTATAGTAAGCACAGCAGTAGTACCGAGGCAACAGACGTACTGTGAATGCATCGGCCGAGCAAGTTTTATGAGGTTTTCTTTCTACCTTTCTTCAGTCGGTATTAAGGAGGAAACTACCTGTTTTGTGTGGCATTAATTTATTCTTAGTCTAGATGAGCTGTTTTGATATTAATTTTGTCTGCTTCCTGAGAAACGGATGTTTTTTTTAGGCAAGCTTATTTATTATACATGGAGAATAAATATTACGGAATAAAAAGTGAAAGTTGGGAAATTTTGCCTCTATGGATCTTCCATTTTTTTATTTTCACCTAGAAATTTTTTATATTAAAAAAATATGACATTACGCATGAATGAAAAAGTTACACAAGTAAGCAACTTCAATTCTACCGTTGAACGAACTACGAAAAACGACCACATATTATTCAGAAAATATTTTATCAGTTTTTAAAATGAAGCACCCATATGATTTTTTTTTCAACCCCCTCTAAGTCGCTTCTCTGTTAACGGCGGCCACTGCTTGGTTGTGCGAGTGCGTTTTGCTCACAGGCACAGTACGTCTGTCTTTAAGATGTGTCAAAGTCAAACTTACATAGATGGGGCGGCGATGTAAGTTTCACTATTCACATAAGCGGTTGTAGGGGGAAAATGTAATGCTACGAGAGCCTTTAAAAATAATATGAAGTTGAATACGACTTTTACTAGAGCACTTAGATAGAGTTTCTTGCATTTACTTAATATAATAAAGATTTGTTATAGCTTTAGAAGGCGATATTTAATTTTTTTGAAATTTAAAATACTTATTTGGTGATAGGTGCTCTTAATAGTTTTTTTTTTATAAACAAATAGTCCTTTTAATATTTTTGTAATCGTTATCACCTAATTCCTATCCTATTAACCTAATACCATTGATTTTTATCAAAAATTTTGGAAAAATATATCTACATTAAGAAGGGAGACAAAAATAGTCCTGAAGAGGGTGCATCAAATTTGCAAGTACGTAAGTAGGTAGATACATATAAGAAAGCAGATTTTATAAAAATGCATACATAATTTTTTCAAAGCAAATCTGCCAAAATTTGACGTTCGCAAAAAGATTTTTGAATTTTTGACTGACAAACAATAATAAAAATCATTGAGCCTCTGTATTTTGTCTAATTTCTCAACAGATTACCACGTCGTGGACAAAATATACGAAAAAATACCATTCACTAATGCATTTGTAATCATTGTCCTATAATAAAATATCAAAGCAAATAAAACTTATTTTATGGAAAAAGTTTTAATCTATCTCCCCAAAAATTCAATCGATATAGTAAGTAGGTGGTGCTTAAAAATCTTTAAATTTCACTTTGATGTACACTTTTTTTTCAAACAAATTAAAAAACCGTTATAATTGAAAACATATTTCACATAGCTTCACTAATCATCGTCAATAATAATTATCACAAACATATGTTTCTTTTTCTATCCGGGACGGAAAGTGGTCAAAACGAAAGTGTCCAATCTATCCCACACCTGTTGTGGTACAAAAGAGAATTTACTTTTACAAAATTATTGATTTTCATGTATCGATTTAATCTGGGTGAATTGGTTCCGGAAAAAGACATAGGTTGTTTGTGTGTTCAATAATAAATACGATGGCAAATATTTCAGAAATGTTGCTTTATTAAATTTTCATCGACGCGTATGACATTGACCCAAGCCCAACTGAAATGAGGCAGCCACTACCACAACCCAAACACATTAATTAATGACAATAATTCATTTATAATAATAATTAATAATCTTGCATTCTGTATCTGCCTATAGTATCTCCGGCAGGTACGAATGAGCCAGTGAATTTATGAGAGGTGAAATCCGCAGCACCGCTTGTTATAATTATTCCGTTTTTAAATAACTTTCTAATTTTCTTGAACCATTCTCTGGAATGGTAAGTGTATCAAATGGCTATAGCCATAGCCATAAAAGTGTACAAAATAAGATAGCAATAAAAATAATTTGATGAAAAGTTGAAAGTAGACAGGATGGAGTAAAAAGTAGGCATCATTGATGGCTAGTCAATGAAAGTTTCCTGTTCTTAATGGGTTGTTACTCTTACTTTATTGTCAGGGCATCTATTTATCGTATCGTGCATATATTATTAAAATAGCTTCAAGACATTGTCGACAACTGCTTTTAATAATTTCCGAAATGAACAATAATTTAAGATGCAGATATTCATGAAGAGTATGAATCAAATTAAAAAAAAAATACAATTTACTATTGTGGAAAAGTTATAATGTAAGTTGAGCATTGACAAATGCCTTACTGGAGTTTTTAGGAGTTGAACCACTGCGTACAGTTTAATTTGTGTTTTCACACTTTAAAACTATATTGAGCATAATAAAATAGGATTTGGAGGATTTTTAGCAAACACATAAATTCAAAAAAGGCTAGAATGGGATTATAATTTTCCAATATCAGGCATTTATTGAGTGTAACTTGAGTTTCCAAGCTCGAGTAAGTAGGCATAATGTACCTATGCCTATACCTACCAACAATTTAAAGAAAATATATCGTTTTTATAGGAAGTCGCTTTGGAGAACGAACAGTTTGAGGTTCTCGTGAAAATGTTTTAAAAAAATGACCGACTAATTTTTTTTTTTTAAATCCGTTCCGTCGTTCCATTTAAGGATTATCAAAATCCAAAAATCAATACAAAGTGTCGTCTCTGGGTACTAATTTTGGCTTAATTTATAAGTGAGTAGTTGGGAAATAAAGGACCATAATGTGAAAAATTGAGAAGTGTGTGTTAACAGATTTGATATTTTTTCGACGTTTTGGCTGGTACTCTGTGCATTTCATAAGTCTTACATTATTTCACATTTAATAATGTTTAACTTTGATGGCATTGATGCTATACATATACTGATATTTATTGATTTTTTCTACTAGGCACTCATTTCTTACGTAAATCATCTATTTCATTCATTGTCATAAGCCTTAAAAATTGTGAAAAAAACAATACATCATTTTCTTTTTTTGTTGCATCACTAGAATTGTGTATTGTTTCAAATAAAATTATCATTGCACCGCTATAAATTGCAAAGAGAAAAAAAAGTTTCACCACCATGTCGCATATTCGTCAAGCTACGCTCAAATTGCGTGGTTTTACACGTTCGCTGAAGACAGACAATAAAAAAGAGAAACTTCAGACAATTAACTCGAGTATATAGGCGACATACCATATTGAAACACCATAATGATCTTAAAACAAAAACAGAATCTAATAACTTAGTTAATCTACTTTGATTCGTTCAAATAAAAGTTTCTAATGGAGTAAGTGCGTTTTTATGACGCTATACCACTATTTCTTCAGGCTATGTAAGTCCGTGAATAGTTGATTTTGTAGTAGTCAGCTGACAAACGAATTGCACAATAATTCTCCACGAATAATTTTCGTCATGCTTCAGGTTAACTAGGACCTACTTCCGGACCAATGGAGGTGCGACCTTGCGTTGTTATCAGACTCCGGCAATGATATTATTAAGAGAAATGCAGGTTCTAGAGCAAAATGTTATCTATTTTTCATTATCGACCGAGATTCCTATGGTCATAGAAAGTGGAACAAGTGCACTGGCTTGTGATCTAACACCACAGTACCGGACTTTCGGTTCGTAGCTAAGCATGACTGGAATGAATGCAATAATAGAACATCTTTCACCGGCAATCTTGTTAGAATTTGCTGGAAAGCGTAGAAAAAGAAATCAAATAAGTCTATCTACATAAAAAACGATTCTGATTTATTTGGGCATATTTTATTTTTCATGGCGTACGGCGCACAAAATCTAACAAAATCTAACAAAGTTAGATTTTGTTAGAGAAATGAATCAAACTTGGGCGAGCCAGGACGCAGAGGCAATTAAACTGAATATCAAAAGCAAATAAATAAATTCCTATGTATATCAAGTTTCTGAATTTACATTATGTGG